CCTCGAATCAAGGATCACGAGATGCCGTTCCAAACCCCTTTACCCAGTCGAGATTCTCGTAGAGAACGGTGACGCACCTTGGCCAATCTTTGAAGACGGCAACGCGGATTTAATAAATCATCTTGCATTTAGCTTAAACCTGGTTGGGCCAGAGATGTTGCTGTAGCTCTGGGACTTTGACGGCACAGTGGTCAGAGACAGCCATCTGTAGGTGACCGGGTAAGCCCACACCGTCTCCATTGTTTAGCAACTGAAGCAGTAGTGGTAGCAGCCGCAGTCGCAGCCGTCGTCGCTAATGCACAAGTATCGTTCCACCAAGCACCGCTCTGAACTTCACAGATCAACAACATCGAAACGGGAGCTCGCAACTGGTGGCTGGCCTGGGCCCTGTCGTCTTGCTAGGGAAGTAAGTGCCAAAGCTGGCCGAAAAGATTCGACTGATTCGACATATCGAAAAGCCGAGGCTCTCCGTTGCCAAGGCGAGGGTGCTGACGAGGCAGGCGATAGCGGTGGAAAAAAGGAAGCGGCCCAGAACCTTTTCGGTACCAAACAGTCACATGGGTCGCCTGGTCGTTGCACATCGCTCTTACACGTTTTTTCTGACTATCTTCATTGCTTTTGCTGCTGGTGGTACAGGTACGCTAGCACCTTGCTGATGGGCATGGCTCGCTGACGGCTCTGGTGATGATGCTGATCCTGGTTGGTGGTGGCGGCGGTGGTAAGTTTTGTTTGAAGCAGAGATATTGCTGGCGGTGGTGATGATAAAAACAATGGTGGTAGTGAACTGCCACCACCACGCAACTCGCAGCACGGCTGTTGACTGAAGTTTGGTTGGAATGTGGATGTTGGAAAGCACTTGCATATGGCATACCTGTTACTTCAGACACACAGATGCAGCGTGTCAACTTCAAACTGTGCCTCAAGACCTCTGCAAAACACGCAACTCGTACGTAAAGTGTGCCTCAAGACCTCTGCAAAACTCAGCACAGTCGGACTGCACATACAAATAGAAGCTGATATGCCAGGAGACCGAATGAGCCCAAACTGCCTCGGCCTGGCAAGGTGAGGCAGCGGCTGGGCAGACCAAATTCCATCGACGAGGGTACACAGCTACAAATCCAGAACTGGCATTTTGTGGAAGGGCCCATGCAAGTTGCAACTAAAAACTCGCTGTGAAGTTCGGGTCAGAGAACTATTGATATTGCCAGGCGTAAAGTGTAGAGGTGTCGGGACGGAAGGTCGGAGAGGACAGACGTTGCAGTATAAAATAAAATACTGCGCATTTCAAAGTTCGGCTCCCGACTTCGTCGTAGGCTTATTCTAGGGTTTCCATAAGATTCAATTGTTTTGCTGCGGTACATGCCCCGCTTCCACCCACAGTCTGCGGTTGACAGAAGCAGAGACGAAAGAAGGGCTGCACGCGAGGTGGTTGTGAAGTCTGCGGCGTAACGTGGAGTGGGGATGCCCTGACGCAAGTAGACTCCTTCAGGAGATACTATACATGATTAAGGTTGAAGCTGCCTACACCGGCAGCCGAAGCTCTCTCGACGTCTAGAACTGCAAAGCAGCGGAACAAGCCTAGATCCAGCGCACCTATAATAAAATAATTCCACAATCGAGATCCTGCAATTCAGCAGTGGACCTAGACCCGAGCCGACTAACAATGGTCGCGCTTTCATTGCAATGCCCTTGTCACACCGTCCCCGGCCCCAAAGCGCAACACGCCGGAGGGCTCGTGGTTGGTTGGTTGACCGCTTGACGATTTATTAAAAACACTCGCCTGAACGAAACCAATGGAGGCCAGGGTGCCTTGCTGTAGCCGCGACACTGCTTCACCAGCCGCCCTGCTCGCACCCACAGACGTCCTGAAGGGGCTGAGTGCGGAGAACGCCGTGGAAATCGGGAACAGGAGATCGAGAAAAGTCAGACACATTTTACTTGAAAACGGAACATGTATAGTAAATCCAGTTGCTTCTCATGTAGGCCTCATGTGGAACTGACGTCGCAGTGCTTTCGGAGACTGGTCTGTTCTACTTGGCCTGGAGGGATGTTGAGCCTTTAACAGAACCTCCAGGGACTTGAACACCTCAATTCAATTCACTGCGCCTGAAGCTAACTCTTCCACGATACGAATTTTCCCACCAACAAACGAAGGGATGATCGGAGTCTGCAGAACAACAGCGAATCGTGTCAGCCGCGGCACCAATGCCACAGCATGCGGCGGTCCCCAGCCCCTCGGTTCTGCCGAACATGTTCCCGTCTGTGCGCAAACTGCTCCTGCTCACAGCTTGACCCCGAAGAACCTCACAACACCTGCTTCAGTATCAGTCGGAATTTGCGGAATGCGGAAACCACGAAATCTATATGCCCGGCCTGGGCCTGGCATGCCCGCCCCACTACACAGTCTCACGAAACTACACGGAATGGAGGCCCTAGACCCAAACCTCGGATGTGACAGACGTCCATAGGCTCGACAACCTGTGCAAGCTTAGATGGCCCTGAATCATCTCCTCATAAGAACAGCTGTCTCATGGGCCTCTCTGTCAACAGTCTGCTGATTCAAGCGCTTTGCTACACGCTGTGTACACTCATACCCTTGGAAGAGGGCAACGGGGTCCCAATCAGCGCCAGAGCGTCGGCCGTAGCAACAGAAGCGACCCCTTGCGTCCTCGGAAGCTTTCTACAGTACAGATTCTGGTGGAGAGGAGAGTTTTTGCAGCGCCTGCACACACGAAGGATCAATAAACCTCGAAAATGCATCCACGCAGACAAACGAACACATAGAAAGCGGACGTCCCTCAAGCTCGGTGAACACCCGATAGTTTCGCCAAGACGCATTGACCGGCCAAAGACCGTTAAATTTTGAAACGTCAGCTGGCTTCCAGGAGCCTGAGTGCAGCTGACTCGGTCGGAGCCTTCACAAGCTTCTGGCTGTGCAGGAGTTGGCGAGAAAACTTCGAGGCAACTTGGAAGTTGTGAGGGCAAGAGGCTGAACTGGAGTCCTGGTGGCTTGAAACATAATTAATCCTGCTGACGGCCGTGCATGCCCCTGAAGAGCCTCAGCATCCCATCTGCAAGATACATACATATTAATACAGACACACCGACCTACTACGCCGTGCTACGCCTGATAAACTCCTGCCAGCCATGGGACGAAGCCGCAGCGGACCACGGCGCAGGCGATGGTAATGCAAGAGGTCAGGGCACCCACGACAAAGACGCAGACCCTGAGCGGCAGCTAAGAGGCGGAGCCGCGAATCTAAGCAGAAGGCAGAGAGAACGCGGAGAGAAGGCAGAGAGAGATTGAGAGCTGCTCCGGGCGGGAAGCATGAGGCCGGTGAGCACGGCCAGGCGCATGCCCATGAGCCGCATCTGAAGCCACCTCAGGGGCGGAGAGGCGGAGAGCTCTACCCCCCGCGTTTGCTCTTTATCCGGCCACTCTCTGCAGCTCGGTTGCAGAGTCGTCAGGTACAGGATCGTCCTAAGGTGCGGAACGGAAGATGAATCTGTGTCTGAAGTCATCCTACTGGACACCAGCCCTTTATCCCCAGCTGAAATCCTGAACGGAGTCCTTCCTTCGACCTTTCGGCCGGTTTAGCCGGGTTTTGACGCATGTCGCAACCGAGGCTCCTCAGGGTGAGGAAGGCCATTGAAGGCACCGCAAACCTTCCCAAGGAGCGATGGTAGTGGGGTCACTTGGGCCTCCGTGCTCCCTAAATACAAGTAGCAAATGGGCGAAGCGAGAAAGTGAGCAACTCCACGCACAGCCAGTGCAAGTCTGCCAGAAAAAAGGAGACGACACGGCCCGCGACTTTGTGTGTCTCTTCGTAGCAGCTGAAAACTCAGGCCAGACTGCAGGTTGCCGCCCACTGCCCGAACGCGAGGGAGGAAGGCACGCGAAATGCGTTTGCTCCATGTGCCACGACTGCCTGTGCCCTAGATTCGCCGAGGTGCCAGGAGCCGGCACAGGTCCGGGGCACTGCGGTCGCAAACAGCAGATGCATGGTACCTGGATGCCAAGAAGCGCCTTCTGCCAATTCCGACTCGTCTCGTCATGCTACAGTGGCACTCCAGCTCATGGACCGCAGCACACATGACACCAGAACTACCGGAACCCGTGGATTCAACACCATCGCCACCGGGCAGCCGTAGCAGTAGGTCGAAACCCAGGAGGCGAAGATCAGCTCCCCAGTCAGGCAGCCCAGAGGATCCTACGCTGGTTGGGGCGGGCCTTTGATGATTTTTGAGAATTGTTCAGCCCTGAGACTTTCTTCGCGAGCTCCTGGCTGATGTCCTGGCGCCGGTGCACGAAGACAAAGAGGCCGGCAATCTGCAAGGAAGAGTTCGTCATGTTCCTCGGGCCGTGCTACTTGGCTGCAGCGGTTGTCTTGCACTGGCCAAAGCCTTCGAACCAAGAATCAGCAGTATGCGATAGCCTTCTGCATCGCCCAAGCGGTATTGGCGAATACTGGCCGCGACCTTATCCGAGAAAATCCGGAGTGCGCATGCAAGATGCAAGTTTGAAGCAGGCTGCAGAAGCTGCACAAATAAGCGTCTGCAAATGCTGCAGCTCCGGAAAAGGACCCATCGCATCGCTTGGAAACGCCCCCAACTCAACTCTCATGGCCGCCGGGCTGCGATGGAGAGTACTTGCAGCAGCGAGCAGAGGGCCAGCGTGCCCAGGAGCAAAGGCAAGGGCCAGGAAATCCAGCGCCGGAGCTTCATGGATTCAGAGCATGGCACCACAGGATGCTTCTTGGCTCTTTCTCGTAAGATTTCCCCTGCCCCTCAAAACCTTCTGTGATCATACCGGGGACGCGGGTCTTTTCAAGACTCCTGGCAGTGGATGCACCACAACATCTAACAGGAGTTCGCGCCCACGTAGCTATAGACCATTGGTCGTAGATGGGCTGAGGCGGTTGGTAATCCATTCTGCATGCGGTGAGCTTGACCCTCTAGCGACCTCACCCAGCGAAGCTTTCAAGTCTTCACAGCCCGGCCTGGCAAAGGCGCAACGCCTGAGCACGTTTTCGCAGCATGTGGTGCACGAAGAACTCACCACCACCCGACCAGCCAGCCGCCAACAGACCCACTGAGCAGGAATCCTCGAGCCCCTGCATCTAAAAAGGAGCAAAGCACTTGGCCAGCAGCAGGGGTAGTAGTAGCCGTTGTCGTCGAAGCATCAGCAAGAGCAGCAGCACCAGCAAGGCTCAGTGAGGCTTTGATGCATTACTGAGGACCACCTTAAAGCCGAAGTCTCATCCGAGAACTCCTGACATCAAGTATCGGCCTTGTGTATACTGGAGAGGGCTCATGCTGCAAGTATTCTGGAGGACGTCCTCACCAAAGCCTACTTGGAGGTTCATGGGCAGTTTTGAGTTTTGAATGGAGTTATAAGTCCTAATCTGGGTTATACGCTGAGGACGGCCTAACACAGCCTGACGCTGAGGACCCAGCAGGTGCCCTGCAGCAAGCTGAGTCAAGTTGTTGAGGACTTGAACCAACTGCCGCTGCTGACCTCTCCAGGGTCCCAGATTCTGTTGCAACGAAGAGGATTGTTGCAAAGATGTGCAAGGTGCTGGGCCTGCAAACAACCGCATGATCCACCAGATTCCTACTCCTAGCCTTGGTATCTGCAGGCAGCATGCAAGCCGCGAAAAGCACGGCGGAGGGGCTGCAACCTGATGGCCTCGATCAGATTTCGGATGCTGAAGTGCTCAACTTTTTTGCAGATTGCTTTCCTTAATTATCAGCATTCTTCGTTCCACGCTGCAGTCACAACGGCCGTGCATTTGCTGCGTATCCATGTTGGCGACTCGTCTTGCCGACATCTACGCTTTTATGACATGCCAGTGGGCGACGATAGCGATTCAGCGATCGGACGTCGACTTCACAACCTGCCAGGCCTGGAGTGCCGCGGCATGGCGCCGGCATCGCTCAGAGCGGCGCAGGCTCCGGTGCCTCCGATCTCCAGGAGCTTCGCTTGGGCTCCCGCTCCGACCCTCCAGGCCTCCAGGCAGACAGGCAGCGAGCGGCCACTCGGGCATTGGCTTCTGCAGCCAACACCTGGGCAAGACTATCGGCACCCATCCTGCGCATGTCTCTGATTCGTTTCTGAAGGTACAACAATCAGGAATCCACATGCAAGCTACCAACGAGGCTCCAGCCTACAAGCCCAAACTGACCAGGCTGATCTTGCAGCTCAGGAGGTGGCCAAACTTCGCTCGCAGCAGCGCCAGAAGTGGCGCATGCGGACTGCAAAGCTCTTCCTGCTCTCGATGCGTGGCATTTCGCGAAGAGAATCGCACAGGATAGGTCATGCACGGCCCTTCAATCATGTCCGTGACACTTCGATTGCGCCGTCAGTTCCAAGGACGAAGACCGCGAAGCTTCAGGTGATGACACGCGTACACAGCGAAAGCCACGGCAGTTCGAGTCCTCGCATCCACAGCATTTGCCCAGCTGCAAAGCACCGCCTCCGCGAGCTGAAGCCGCTGCCTGAAACGGCCGCCGCAGAAAACTTTCTCTCGGCGCGCACTCGGCCCTAGGCCGGCAGTAGCCTCCCGGCGGCCTCCTGCCCTGCTCCAAGTCTCTCCCGAACACTGGAGTGACATGGCCCAACTGCATGAACCCCCTGTGCAAAGGAGGGAAGGCACGGCAAAGAGGCCCGTGAATCCCAAGCTTCGACCCAGTGCCTGCGCTGCATCTGTGCGAAGTGCCAGGCGGTGAGGGCCTGGACAGAGACTAAGATTGACACGCGGAGACAAAAGCACTCGCATCCACGGAAATGTCACTGCTTGAAGAACGGGACATGGTCGCAAGGTAGCAAAGCATTCGAATTTTGGAGTCTGTCCAGTTTGTTCTTTACATCTTCATCCGTCTCCCCTTTGACCCGGCTTGTTTGGAGCATAAGGGCCTGGACACCTGTTCTCCTTTTCACCACATGGCTATACTTCTCGAAGCGTGCGTCGGTTTTGCAAGAAACACTTGTGGGGCACGCATGGAGATGGGCTTGGATGCTCTCCAAACAGGTACGCCCTTTCGAAACACATCCTGAAGTACACACTAAGTAATTACAAACAAATCACGCACGCTCCTGCAATTTACTTCCTTGAATGCACCCGCCAGCCTTTCTCAGTCGGCAGCGCCTGAAATCGAGAGTTGGGGTGCCGGGCTTTACCCAAGTCTGCCGTGTTGGTTTAGCACGATGAGATGTGATTGAACTAAACGAAGCCTTTCAGATTTCATCCTGGCACCTCGCGAGACCTCCTTGAAGGACACCCCAAGTCCCAAGTTTTCGGGCCCGGCCAAGCGGCCCGGCCTTGCGAGCTGGAGGCTTCGCTTCCAGGCAGCGAGCACTTTCCTCTTCAAACCACGAGCCTCCAGGCAGCGACTCTCCAGTTGGGCATGACCGCGAGTAGATCGATTCGCTGTCGTAACGAGAGAGAGAGTCAGGAGAGAGAAACAGAGAGCGAGAGAGAGGGAGAGAGAATCAAGATAGAGGCAAAGATAGAGGCAGCGACAGAGAGACCAGAGTCCGCCGGTTCAACAACCCCAGGCAAAACAGCGGCCTGCCGCACGAAACGCAAACAACCCGCGCCCTTCGAACCTTCGAGAGCAATTATTCGTAAGGGCGACTGCGATGCACACAGACACTCACCATTCATCAACGCGAGAAATTGCGAGAATGCCACACACACACACACCGAGACAGACGCGCACAAATTAAGCATGACACTGTAACTGTCACGCGAAACTACCCGAAACTCGGGCGATGCAGACGAAGCATACACACTTTGCATTCAAGTTACTGATTGTGATTTTTGCTGGCTTCAAGATCAGCTGAATCAAATCTGTAGAATCCTGCATGCAACATCCACACAAATCCGAAGCACTCCTCAAAACGCCTGCCTCGAACGTGGCCGAACGCCATCTCTGCAACAAACCAGCCTGGGATTTTGTCGCACTTCATACGAAGGTCATGACTGGGACTCCTGTCCTACATGGTCCTGTATTGCCTGCCATCATTTAAAATCGAGACACGCACGCTTCGTAACACTATGGGATGGCGAAAGACCATGCTCCATGAGGCAACAGTCCATCGAGAACCCATCAAGATCGGTAACAGCCCAGGTGCACCAAACGGGCGCCAGCGCCGCCGACGGCAAAGGAGACCGTGCCAAGCTCGCAACGGGAGCGTGGCTGTGGCCAGCGACCTTTGCGGTTGGGAGGTGCGAGGAGTAACAGGAACCCGTTTGGGGAGTAACGGAAACCATTTCTGGGGGTCGTAGCGGGAACGAGGGCTAGTAGAAACAGGAATTGCACCGGGAGTGTAACAGGAACTGTCCCCGGAAAGCCAACCAACCGAAACTATGATGGAACTCTTGTGGGGGACCGGTTTTCGGTCCTCTACTTTGACACCATGAAGCCTTATGCTGACGCCTCTGTTTCGTTCGAGTTTGGGAAACAGATTCACGGTTTGGGATATAGGATGCCACTGGCAACACAATCCCTGTCTCTGAAGCCACAAGTTGTGTCTTGACATTGTTCTTGTCGGGGGAATATGGATGATTTATCTTACAAGCTGGTTCGTACTCCAAGTCGAAGTTGTCGTACTACGAATACTACGTCAATTGGTGGCGGGGCTGAGCTTTTGCACGCCATCGTGGACTGACCAGTGCCAGCTTGGCTTGTTTTCTGGGTTGAGTGCTTAGGCTTGCGGGTTTTTATGACTCTGCGGCTGTAGAGGTATTTAGGAGGTTTAGGGGTTCAGGCGGTTAGTGATTTAGGGATTTAGGGTTGACAGGTCAGGTTCAAGGGTTCAGGCATTTGCCAGTCGAGAACGGCTTTAAAAGGTCGAGATCGGATTTGGGGGTTCGGGGTTTCGGCCAGCTCTGAGCAGCAGAAATAGGACGAAGCAACAAGGGACGACTACACACAGGATACGATCGCGCACACCAGTCGCGGAAAGTTGCAGTTTCACTCGCGGCAGACACATGCAGGTGTTATTCTGGAGCGTTAATGGCAACACCGATGCTGTAGCCATCGGAAATTCATGACAAAGGTTGCTGTGGACACACGAGGTCAGTTTCTAGTGCTACATGACATGACGTTTTGAAGCCCGTATAAGCGGGGGACCGGAAAGAAAGCGGTCTTTGAGTTGGCGAGCCCACAGGAGCAGGTGGAAAAAAGCGATCCTTGGAGCCCCGCACTGGTTCCTGCGAGGGGAGGCCTGGGGGTGTTGCAGGAACTGCTGGTTGCTGTTACGGCGATGGGTCCCCGTTCCTGTTGCGGGTTCCCGTTACGGACATCCTGTTCCCCTTACGGCAAACACTCCCTCTGCCGTTGCAGGCACGGTCTTTCGTGAGCTTGCGCTCTGGCAGCTTCGAGCTTCGGGGCTTCGCTTCCGAATACGGCTGCGGCATGCTGCGGCATTGTGAAGTTGAGACCGACTCCAGCAGTTGCCAATGCTGGAACTGGCGGACCAGATTCGCGCACTAAACCCGTGTTCGCATTGCTTAGCAGACGACAGACCCATCCGACCCATCCTAACATCAATTGTAGCTGCCGGGCGACGCCCGCTGCCTCCAGCTGGCTACGACCTGCTTCACCACACCTGGTCGTGGCCAAGGTGCAAAGCTTCTTGAGCAACCAAGGGCTGAAACTTGCTGCGGGATTGAGCTAGTTGTAGCAGCTGGCAGTCAGGATGCCGTCGGGAGAAACCCTCGGGCAAACCAAACTCGTCAAGCACGAAAGCCACACACACACACACACCAGTTCATCTCGGACCTCGAAGTTTGCTAACCATTTTTGCGGCCTAGACCTTGCTTGCTCTCCCAGCCTCCTTCGCTCCGCCACGCCTTCTGCCGGCGCCAAAGCCAGAAACCTCTCAACGGTTCCGCTATTCGCAAGGCCGTCTGCGGTTGGATTCTTGGCTTGTATACAAAAGCTGAGGGTGAGGGAGGGCTAAACGATTTTGAAACGGGCCTGAAACGGGGTGAAAACAGGGGCACGGTGCAGGACACCGTCCTGGCAGGAAGCACTTAGGGCTTCGCTCAGGTTTGCGGAAGAAGTGGTAGCAGTTAGACTCTTCTAGGCCACCGAAGCCACCGGTAGCAGTTGCTTCTCAAGTTTGACAGACGCTGAGCGGCAACGGCGGAGCCGCAGGAGGCACAGCGAGGAGTGGAAGAGTTGCCATGCGACCCACGCCATGTCCAGGACCTCTCATGCGAAGGTTCCGGCTTTGGCAAAAACAAGGAGCGCTTTCGTGTGTTTTCTTCATGAGAAGGTGGGTTTGTGAGACTCGCAAAGTCGAGATGCATTGCCACGCACGGCTGTTTGTGCCTGGCGCTCTGCAGTTGCAGCCTGCCAGAGGCGGATGCAGCGCTGCAGCTGGCGGTCACGGGTGGCCTGAGCTCGGATGCGCAAGATGATCTGTGCCCACTCGTCTCCCAAAACATGTGCCTTCATCTCGACCGCTGGCACTCCTACATGCTGCTTACGGGAGCAGTGCCTAGGTCCATCTGATTTGCGGCTGCCAGAATGCTGCGAGTAATTGGCGACTCTATAAACCAAGAATCGACACAACCGAGCCGGATTGCAACCCCGAATAGTGTAACAAAAGCCCACATCGCACGTCATCTCCTTCATAGGCATTTTTTACAAGCATCCGAGATTTCGGAACCTCGCATGAAGAGCGAAGGCCTGCCGTCGAGCCCGCTCCAAGTCTGTCCAGGCCGTCCCATGCCGTGTGTGTGAGGGCAGATGCGTGTCCGGAATGTAGTTGCTGATAACTTAGTGTTGTCGTGTTGGCTGTCAGGATTCCTCGCTCAGACAACATACTGCTTTTGGGACGTGTGGGTAAGGTCCAGCCCCACACGTTCAGGCTTAAGGGGCGGGCACGGCTCCTGGGGGCGGTCTGAGGGCAGTCACCATTGGTGATGCCTCGTCTCGGCCAAAGGGGACATCCTACAACCTACAACGCAGTCTGTCTCTCACAGAGAGCAGTGCTCCTACGCCAAAACTTGCATGAGATGCTGGCCGGTTGACTGCGGACTTGTGTTCATGCTGTCCTTAGAGGAACGTCCACAGCAATCCTGCAATCTCATGGATAAAACGCAACCAATCTTCCTTGGATTGCTTCAATTAGGGTGCAGGGATGCATCTGTACCGCTCCCTGGGCTAAGCCCTGTCGACTTTCGTGCACAACATACTGTAATAAAAGCGATGCACGCAGGTCCTCGCCAGCGTGGCTTGAATTCAATTGCGAATCTCTTTACAGTCTAAAACATCAACAAGACCCGATCCTAGGCCCAAAGGTCTCAACACCGTCAGATCTCCACGTAAACAAGCTCATCGCCGGTCTGCTTCGGCCGGATCGATGCTTCGTGAACCTCCGATATAACCGCCAGATAACATGGAAAAACAAAGAGCATGATGAACATGACACAACAGCCGCTCTCCGTCAGCTATCAATGCAAAACAACAGCAGCAGCAGCAGCAACCACAACAACACCAACACCAAGAGCAAGCATAAGCGCAAGCGGGACCGCCACCGCATCCACCACCATCACCACAACCATAACCACAACCATAACCACAACTACACCACAACAAACAAAATCCACGACTCGACCACCCGACCACCACCACCACCACTACCACCACCATGAGGGTGACGGTTGTAACAGGAACAAGCGCACGACGTCAAACGGGAACCAGGTTCAGGAGCCGACAGACCGTAACGGGAACCAGCGAGACACGTAACAGGAACTGGGTTGGGGCTACCCTTGGGAGTTGTGACGGAAACCAGCCGGAAATCGAAAGCCCTTCAGAAATTCTTAGCCCGTATTAACGCTTTGTAGAAGCCCAAACCATATACCCGTAAATAAACCCTAAACCCGGCCCTATAAACCTTCACCCCTAGACCTTAATCCTAAAAAACCGCCCAAACCCTAAATCCCGCATCCTTAAACCCAAAATCGTAAGACAAAAACATACAAAAACCTTACCTCTCTTTTCCTGTACCCTTCCTTTTCCTCTCCTCTCCCTAGACCCTAAACCCTCAACCCTAAACCCAGAAATCCCCTTTAAAACTCACCGATTCTAGTTAAGAACTTGATCAACCTCTAAAAACCCATGGTTTGATTAGGATTCCACTAGGAATCCTAACCAAGCCACGGTTTCCTATGGTTTTTCCTGCAAAGCTTTAACCCATATTTAATATGTAAACCCTAGCCTTATACCCTCAAGTCCGTAATTAGAGATCTGTGAAAGGCCCGTGTTAGAGAGGCAGTTCCTGTACCCCGCACCCCCACCCCACGCACTTCCTGTTACAGCGGGTGCCTGGTTTCTGAAACGGTGAAACAGTTTCGAGCCAGCTGCTGAAACAAAGTTTCCTGTTACAACCTTTCGGTTCAGGTTACTGCGTTTACCCCAGCACGACAACAACCACAACAACGACAACGACGACGACGACGACGACGACGACAACGACAACGACAGCAGCCGCCGCTACCACCACCACCACAACGACGAAGCTGGCAGGATTGCCCCGCGAAGGGTGTGTAGGCGTCTTCAGCTGGACAAGCCTCGTGTGGTTGCAATTGTTTGATCCAAGACCGATTTTGGCGGTATGTACATTTTCTCTTGGATGGGAGGAGGCATCGCAAATACTGTGATGATCGTGGCTGTTTCAGCTGTTCCGTTTGATTCTCGCGTGTGTTCGATGTTTTTGTCTGAAGCGGTCGTTCGGCTCGAGATTCTTGTTGGCCCGCAGTTCGTGCAACAGTTGTAGAGAAAGCCACAAATCGTGTGGCTTTCGACAAATTGTAAGTGTGATGTTCTGAGAATGCAGGTGCGAAGGGCAGCAGCCAAAACAACAACCAACACCACCACCACCACCACCACCACCATCAGCAGCAGCAGCAGCGACAGAGATAATATCGGCAACAGGTCGACCATGGGTGCGACCTCTTTGAGCAGCGTAAAGCATCGGACCGTAGAGCCGAAACTCGACAACCCCCCGCGGGCCTGCTCGTCCGGCCTCCAACAGGCCCCCAAGGTCGACCAATCGGCACGGCCTTGGCCAGATGGCAACGAAGGGGTCGCGTTCCAAGAGTTCAGCAGACCTCCCTAGCCCCCTCGCCGCCCTCGCCTCCACAGGCAGCTTGCAGGCCCGCAGCGAGGGCTTCCTCTTCATGTCCAAATTTTTGGTCTGCACACACAAGTATGTGTAAAACGGGAATGGGAGGGCGTTGGGCTTGCCCCCACTTCAGGAAATACCTGGTATGAACACTGTTCTGCTCTAAATTCTCGAACTCCAGACCAACAGCTCCAAAGCACGTTCGTTCGGTTCAAGCATGGGCCAGCTTGCACACAAGCCCACCTTGACGGCAGGGTCCAGAGACAAGGGCAGCTCGTAGCTGTTGCCAGCAGAGTCCGTCAGCATCAGCTCCCCGCTTTCTGCGGCGAGGCTTCAGACCGGGGTTTTGCTACGAAGGCGTCTTAAGACTTCCCCGGTTCAAGCCCAAGCTCTCACTGCACCAATGAACTGGCTGTCGCACCACTGTGCCACCCCGTGCCATCCAAACCTCTCAATCGTGAACCCTTCCAGAATTGGCTACATGCCGCAACATCACGTCGTATCACATAGCCCGTATTGCGGAGCTCTGGCCTTCGAGCTCTGCACGCTGCATGTCCGCAAAGGACAGGCCCCGGGCGATTTCGCTGACGCTCTGCCTCTGCAAAACGGACGGATCCTATGCTTTTTGGTTCTTGTGTGCGACATCAACAAGCTACCCTGCCTGCCTACACTGTACAGCTGGACTGTGAGTTGTTGGATCCCTTTCTTCTAGCACTCAGGTAGGCTTCTGCCACAGGCCTGCAAAATCCTGATCGTTCAAGCACTGATCCCGACGCCCACATCGTCCACAACCCTTCAAGTCTTATGGCACTGTTGCAACGAACATCTTTGATGCCAAACTTTACAAGCTCAAAACTGAGCAGACTTAGCACTGAGAGCTTCTCACCAGAACCACATCTTTTTGGGAGAACTTCTGCTTGCAACGACGGCGCGGGCACTCTGCAAGATCACCACTGGTCGACCTGAAAGCTTGGAGGCTTTAAGCTGCCAGAATTACAAGAAAGGATGATTCAGAACTCAGGAAGGGCTGGATTTATGATCGAGGTTTAAGCGATCCCAAAACCCTTGCTCCATGAAGCTTCATGCTCCAAACCCTCACGACACCATGTTCAGATCCTGAACGACCCATGAAGAACGTGTCATGGGCCTGTTCAGCACCTCTTCCAGAGGCGACAGCAATTGCGGGAATTCCCGGTCCTTGGGTCGCTGGCGTCAACTTTCTTAGCTCTTGCGGGCCTGGGGTTTGGTAGGACTCGAACATAACGGCTAACACATCGAAGTCTATTGCGAAGTTCAATCTCGCGCTGATTGAATCTCATGCCCCTGGCAATGGAAATTTGTGCTTCGGAGCTCCATCGGCCTGTCGGAGTTCCCTCTTCCTAGGACACTTCATTGCAACGGCTGCTGAGATCAATCGGGACTCAATTCGTCTCAGACGGTGCCGGCTGGATCGGTCGCCAGGGCCTTCGCAAGTGGAACTTCCAGCATCGATTTACTCCAGCGTTGGGAATTCACTTCAGACTTCTTTGGGGGGATTCCTTGAACGCAAACGAACGAACGAAGGGAAGAGCGAATGAATGACAGTGCCTGTACATTTTGCTGCTGGCTGCCTGCACAGCGTGACAAAGGGGAACAAGAGCCTGCAGCGTGACATTCTGTCGGGTCCTCAAAGTCCCCAACTCCTACACCCTACCAGTCCTACGTGGCAGACAGGAAGGTCTAAAGTAGAACACACTTCAAACACTACAACGTGGCACGCGCACGCACGCACACACACACACACACACAAACACGAAAAAGAGCACAGGCAGAGGCCACTGCATGCCCCGCCTGCATCTGCATTGGAGAAGGCCTGTCAACATTGTACAGCAGCGAAGGGTTTTGAGGCTTGAGGTGAAGAGTTGAAGATTGCACCGTGTTCAGGCCAAGCACGAGCGAAAGATTGGATCATGGGTTGCAGAAGTAACAAAGCAGAGCTGCATTTCTCAGAGGGGATCTGGGTTGGCCTTGCTCAAGCCTTTGGTCTCTGGTCTGTCTCGCACGATGTCAACACAAAACACTTTCGCAGTGCTTGAAGATGTGAGACACAGGGAGAAATCAACACATGAAGCTTCACGTACCCATGGGCAGTGAGTCTTCAAAGACCAAAACCCAATAAATGGCCCTTTGAATCTATCACGGTCACAAGCTCGCAACCTTGTCGCAGGTCAATTCGCTGCCGAGCCGGCTTGCGGCATCGAGAGGGTGAAGCTTCACCTTTCGTGGT